TTTTCCCACCTCACCTCTTTGATATCCACACACATTACTGTCACAGAACCGTGGCTGTTAGAGAAATGACACACCATATTTCTCTAGCCACATATTGTCCTTTCTTTTTGATCACCTCTTGTTTCACGTTTTTTTAACACACTCTATGCTAATTCTCACCGCTTTTCTTACCCACTTTTATCAGTTAGCAAATATCTTGGTAACACATACTGGTATGCTTGGACTTTTTTGTGGAAAGAGAAAGACACGAGTTTTTATTCTTATATACATACATTTATATACACACATTTATAGTAGATGAGACAGATATATTAATTGTTGCATCTCTCTTTCCTTCTCTCTTTTTTAATATATATATATATATATATATATATATATACATATTTATATACGTTTGTAATATATATATTACTTTATCGCACGGTCACAAAAAGTAGTTCGTTCTCCTCATATCTCTTTTGTTAATTCGCCGGATTCGTTCCGGATATTTCGGGACAGATATGAGGTTCTTGTGATTTATACTTTTATTAAAATAGTTATCTTTGCTTTTACGTATCACTTTTTTCCGCCTCCCCACTATGGCGCTTAACGATATATACATATTTTTCGTATCGGGCGCACCGGTTTGCTTTCCGTTACAACGATTAGATTAGAGGTAGGTTCGTTACTTGAGTGTGGAAAGTTGACTTACGTCGCGTGCATAATGTAACCACGGTAATCTAGTTACCGTGTAGATTAGCTAGCGGACACACATCGACACGGTCGCGCCATTTTATTTATTTTCCCATTACATGTATACTGCATTATGTGACAATATTGATGGTGTACGTCACAAACATAATGGCGTTTTCTGCACGCGTGGGTGATGTTAATATTATCAATGTATGACAGTCGATCGTAAGATGCTCGAATTACACGTCAATGCAGGCGAATCCAGCTTCTTGCCTGCCAGGCAATTAGTATAGTATGTACTACATGCACTATTAGGAAATAATCGAGACTCGAGTCCTTTTTGTCTTACGTTTTGTTTGATATTGTTCTGTAATATCTGTAATATGCATTGTAATATCGATAATGAAGTCATAGAACAAGATGCAAACGTACACGCGTGTGCCTCACAACGTTTTGTGTAACAAATTATTTTCTTGTTTATAAAAATTCAGACAGCGAATGTATATCAAGATTCATTAATCATATCATAGATCAATATTTCGTTTTTTTATTTTTATTTATTTTTATTTAGAATTTATTTTCTATGAATTAACGTTAGGTACAAACATATTCATCTATTAGTTGAATATCTATTTAGATATAAATGTACATAATAATACATTTGCTTGATAAGTAAGCAAATTGTTTATTTGTTTAGTAAGCAATTTGTTTATTCATGCTATCTAGGGTGAATTATCCTTTAAGGAATATAAGAAAATTATTTTTGTAACTGTTATGCAGCATCACATATTCATTCATCGAATGTATATTACAGGTTTTCTAACAATTTACCATAAATCTTGAATTAAAATATGTGAAAACAGCCGTGAAGCAGCGAGTTGCGGATGATGCTGACATTTCTCGAATTGATCGGCATTTCTATCTTAAAACTCCATTTATCCTATTTAACTCCAATATCTTCAAAACGAATCGTCAGCGCGACATTATGTCAAGACGAAACAATACTACTTTTATCATGAGTAAAGGAATCCATTCACGTTCGAACAAATTCCTCTCCGAAGAGAGTGCCAGTAAATCGTGGATATCTCTCTTTTCTTCTTTCTATCTCTATTTCTTTCTCTCTTGTTCCTCTCTCTCTCTCTCTCTCTCTCTCTCTCTCTCTCTTTCTGTCTGTTCTATCTATTTACCCATCTATCTATCTATTCCACTTTCTCTTCCACATTGAGTTTCTTGGTGGCATGCAATAGTGTTCTGACTAGTCTGTAGATTGTCGAAAGGCGATCAACCTCCCGATACGGAATGGCCTTTAGAGAGGGAGAACAACCCTCTCTCGTTCGATGCGCGAGCGAGGAGGGCGGTCATTTCTGATTCAGTCGCGACATTTTCCTTCTTGGCTTGATATATACATATATATACACATGGTTTGTGGCATCTAAAATAGCGCAGCAGTAGCGGGTGCAGATGTACGGCCGCTCTTTTTAGGGGTTTTATCAGTAGAAATTGTGCACGTCTAACTGCGATACATGACTGCGATATATATTTACTCGTGGCGCAGAGCGACGTAACTCGGCAAAGATGATTTGGAATATAAATTTAATTCAAATTAATTGAAACAATTTTTTCTCAAAAATTATATTGATTAAAACAAGATGGTGTAAAATGTATCATTTAACAGACATTTCGAGAGTTAACAAGTAACATGAATACTTTTTATCGTGTCATTTAATTACAATATTGCTTTACAAAATTAATATGTTAACAGCAGTAAGAAATAATAAGAAATCTGAAAATGTGGAAATTCTAGATCTTATCTTTCTAGTACTTTTAATATTATAAATTTTTAATATTTTCAGTCTAATTCTTTTGCAAGAGACGATAAGCAATAGCATACACATCAATGGACTCAATTGTATTAACTTGTCTGAGAAGATAAAATTTTATCTATCGTATTATAAAAATATCGAGCGGATGTGCAGCGGAATATGGCGCGTCTATGACCTTTTGACCGAGGCGAGCGAATGAAAAATTGATCGAATCTACGTCCCGTCTTCCCGTCGTTCGCCGTGAAGCGCCGACTCATGATTTCACTGTTGCGGGCATACAGGTAGTCTAGCTTGAGTCACATCGGGCATACCTCACATCATTCCATACGACACGTGAGTAACGTATTCATGACATGTGCAAACGCATACCGTGAGGGAAGGAGAAAGGGAAAATCGTGCGGGCGATCGTGAACGTTCTGCGTGGTATAATACAATGCACGTTGATGCACGGTGATCGACGAAAGGAATATGCACTCGCCCGGAACATCACAGCCTCGATCGCAAATTACCTCTCTAATGCGCTACGTGCGTCGCCGTAAATCACAAGATGAGAGTAGCATAGACACGCGTACACACACACACACACACACACACACACACACACACACACCGCACGCGCGCGCGCGCGCGCATACAGGTATAGGTAGCTCGACACTGGCTTATGCCTTGAGGAACACCGCCGCAAAATGCACATAATGATCATATTTTTTCGACAAAAAACCATTCAGCTATTGTAATTCATAAGCTTGCGATAAGATGATTGCAATTACGCGCTCACAGACTTCGTTGCCGCAGACGCACCACTTCTCGCGATCAGATTTTCCTCATTCGGCAGATCATTGATAAGTTTTTACTTCTGCTAATAACGAAAGCATTTTTTTCATCATTATTTGGCAATAATGATGAAAGTGATATTTGTCAATAAGTTTTCAGTATTTCAAGGTACGCTCAAAAGGGACAGTTTTACATCATATCCGATGTAATTGCGCGAACAATAAATGTTACGTATGCTCGCTTCGAGAGGAGGAAGACAGAGATCGACATTAATGTGTGTGCTGTAGCATAGCTCCATTTATAATTAATCGTGATTAAACAATGTACATATATTTTATTCGAGATTTTGGAAGAATATATACATGTGATAATTTGCGTATATTATGTCTTGTGTCGATTGTTTCGTCAACTAGTGTTAATGAGTGATTAACATTAACCAGGCGCTAACATAACTCGCTAACTAAATTTCTAATAAAAATTTGATTGTGTTTTCAATTTTATTTCATTGTGTTCGCATATTAAATGAGGATTACAATTGCAATTTTGCGACGGTGGATTTAAATGAATTATTTCTGAAAATATAAATACAGTTCAATGATCAATAATTTATTTATAAAGCATAATTTAAATAACTAAAATAATTCATAATCAAAGCGATTTTAATTTTCGGTATTGATTGAAATTTTTTATGTTTGATTAATAAAATATACGATGTAAATGTGATGTTCCTTCAACATTTTTCTTTACAGTTAAATATAGCAAAACATTTGAAAAATATTTATAATATTTTCTTTGACAATTTCTTGAATTTTATCTAAAAAATTTATTTAAGAAATAAGTTTACTTATGCCCAAATTTATAAATTTCCTAATATTTCCTAATATTATCCGCGTTTATATTCTAAATTTTCTTTTTAACAAAATTGTTATACAAGTTTTTTAATTAAGTTTTTTAATTTTTTAATTAAACCTTACACGAACGATATCTGTTTGATATACATACATAATCAGAAAAAAGATTTTTAATTTGATAAAGATATACAAATGCGTTTTTTTACACTAAATAAAAATAAGAAGAATGACAAGCAAAAAGAAGAATTAAAACACATTAAAAATATTTCAAAGATTTAGCGTTGTCGACGCAAAGATGATGTCAATTTTCTTAATGAAAATGACATGACGATGCGATTATAATATAATTGAATGCACAAAATCATAAAAGAACATTATAAAAGAACATAGATAAGCACTTTTACTAGTGATCTAGGTAGATGTATGTCATATATATATAGCACATACATATATAGCATTTGTTAGGTATAGGATCTATAAGTGTAGGTGTAAGTAGCCTACCTACTTTGCACTTTTATTTGGAAAACGCATTTTGTTTCCAACACGTTTACTAACTCTCGGAGATGTAGCGGTACAGCACTGATAATCGTGTCTCTATGAATAGCCGCGCAACTCGTTCATAAATATCCTCATCCTTCTCTATCGTTTAATGAAAAGGGAAAAGACGTACTATGTGACTAACATATGACGATTACTAGTCGATCACCAAATATCATGATATGACATCGAAAAGATTTAAATCGACCGACCGACCTAATGACCGATCGACCGACTAACAACAAGATACATGTAAAAAGAGAGAAAAAAGCAAGCTATTGTCAACCCTATCACACAAGTGTATTGATGCGAGTGTTGTGTTTTGTTCTATTACGTGGTGTAGGCCATATTCGCCAGTTGTATCCCTGAGATAATTGACCTGATCGGGACGCGAAACAAGTACGGCGGCACTTTGAAGAACGAGCGAGGTCGCAGGTGAGAGACACAATCAACCAATTAGCTTCCCCGATTTGACCCCCAATCCTGACTGCCACATGCCCACGGTGTCCTCCCATACAAAATATCTCTATGCTGTGTAATCTCCACCTTATCTCACAGTATTTACCTGTTACACTTTTTCTAACACACATTCACACATGCACACATGACATTCTGATTTTTTCCCGATCCTTCCCTAATCCCTCTCCCGTGAATGCAATCTCTCGATAGAAGCACGTATGAACATCAATCTTTGTCAAAAGTCCAATTTTCCCTTATAAAACTATATATATATATATAATATATATATATATATATATATATATATATTTAGAAATCAGTGTTAGCATCGCAAAATCGCAGTTCCGTACCAGCTCATTGCACTAGTTGTCGGTCTTAGTGCAGTCGTCATCCCAAAAACATTCTTGAACAGCCTAACCCGACAAAACCCTCTCCTCAACAAACCAACCAATTTGCCATCACAGACCTACCTACCACACTCAGCAACTGGTGTTAGCTTGTTTGTTCACACCGATCGCACTTGAGACAAATACGGCTTGTCGCGGCTCGACATACAACATAAGCGTAGAACAGAAGACAAATCAAAATGCATGGAAAAATTAATAAGACTTTTTTTTACTGTAAAATCTCGAAATATTAATTTTATCAAAAATTATTATAAATTTTATAGATGAGACATTCTATGTTATACATCTCTCGCGGATAAATTGTGCCGTCTTAAGTAGGCTTTAACAAGAAATGTCATGTCCAGATCAGGCTTGTTTAATGCTTTTACTTGATTAATCAATATCATAGTTGTTACGTCGACTGTGAACTGCGCTTTTAAGGAAGTCTAAATTGAGATGACACAGATAGTATATTCCGTCGTAAATGAATGTTGACAACTTTGAGATAAACGACGCAGTTGCGTGTCGCGTATTAGGAAGCCACAGAAATTCGTATAACACATCTTGATTTAATTATTCGATATACGTAGATGCATCATAGTTGAACAATCTTATTGCCGTTAAACGGACCGCGCGCTTTGAAATATCAAGCTGTATTTCTCTCCAAGTGCAGGGGGTTAACGTCCAGCATGTATCCTGCATTATTCGAACAATTGAATGCATATATTATATATGTACATACATATATATATATATATATATATATATATATATATATAAAAACCTAATGTCGTATCACTTCAGTGTAATAATCTTGATGTTTTAGACAGTATTAATGATCGTTTTTGGGTATTCGTAAATTTTTAAATGAAGAAAAATGAGAAAAATGGAGAAGGAAGTACTACATAAATAAATATATGTATATTATTGAGACTGTTGGTCTCATATGTAGCTCAGGGAGTCTGATGGAGGAGATCCTCGGTTGGCCAAAATAACTAACATAGATCAGGGACGACAGAGCTTTCTATCATTTACAATTAGCGCAAATGTGGCTGTGATTTTTCATAAGATGGAATTACACGACAACAATACGCTGACCGCATCATCAGTCGAGTATCTTATTCAAATATAATACATGCGCCTACGATCAAGAAACGATATATAAATATTCAGGCACACACGATAGTAATAACCCAGAAGAGCTTTGTCATAATGAAAAATGTTCCGCGGAAATTACCGTTGCCATTTTTAGCGGTCTTTTACGATTTGTATCATCTGTGCATGATTTCTCATCAATGTTCCATTAATACCGATCGAATACTGATTTAATAAATCAATTTTAATTTTAATTCTAATCGAATGATATCATAGGCGGGCTTAATAAATTAAATATTCTCAGTGCATAGAGACATACCCGATAAAACGACCGCAGCAGGTACGCTATAATCGTGCGTTATAATTTCACGTCACGGGAATTCGGACTTTCATTGTATGAACGCGTATGAGCATCCTCGCATCCTCAATCGGAGATCGAGATATGACAACGGGCATCCAATTTACAACACATCCACGTTACTCCCGTCAGATTTTCGATCCGACAGCGGTCGACATATAAAAACGATTTGTAACAGCTCACATCCACGACACACGCTCACATCTTGACACGCATATATAATACGTCGGACCTCATATACATTTAAAGCAAAAATAACCAGTAATACCTGGACATTATCGGACTTGCGTTGAATTCAGTAGCGCCTTTCGCGCAAAATACGCATAAAAGAGGTATAACAACACGCGATTGTTGCGTGATAAGGCGAGTCGCATGATACGAAAAGGCTACTGAGTTCACGATGGAGCGAATGTTAGACATCACCGAGTAGATAATATTAAGCATGAAATATTAAATATCGAATTCCACTACTTTTTTTTTGCAAATTCGTTAATTAAATTTAGTCTTACCTGTTATATGGCACTTAAGAGTAGGAATATATCTCACACTATTGTACACACAGCACGTAGAAATTACACATGTAGTGTCTTGTGCTTGACACACACACACATATATATATATATATATATATATATATATATATATGACGACATACAACTAATACGAATGAGCTTCTCGTGCACTCGTGCGTATTTGATCTAACATTTATCAGCACTGAACTGTGTATGTATAACTGTATACCTAGCGCTATTAACTTATTTAGGTGTGTGTGTGTGTATAGTCAGTTGGTTAAAATCGAATCCAATTCTTAACGCAACTTTGGTAAGTTCAGCTCACTGATTTATTATTTATCTTAAATAGAATACACTCTTTCGGAGCGCGCGTTATTCGAGTGCCGAGTAATTTTTATTATTCTTTTTTATTATTTTTGACTAAATTTCTCTCTCTTGAAATAAGCTTGACTGTCGAATCAATTTTATGACGAATCATTGAGTTCCATATATTTTGAAGAACGACAATTAATATAAATTTATGTTTTATTTTCTTTTTCCAAAAACTATATTGTGTTGATAAATATAACTAATTTAAATATAACTAATTTTTAACAAAGTAAAATAAAGGCAGGTTTAATCTTATTGTGGCAGCAGACTAAAATGGCACGAAAAGAAAAAAAATAATTTCCCATCAGCATCAACGTCTCTCTCTTCTAGCTCTTCCTGCTTGCAATTACTTATCCGTTTTCAAGCTTATTTAACAGATGGGATAGATTTAAATGAGTAAAAATCGCAGCGGAAGAGAGAAGAATTTAATTGGGTCCGTAGTTAACATATATATAATACTTAGAACGCGTGTATATGGTAGTTGCTTGAGAGAATTTCCTTTTCTTTTCCTATATCATCCATTAATATTGCCCTTTTAAGAATGTCATCTAATCTACTCGTTGTGTTGGCAGACATATTGTTGTGTGCGGCCACATCACCTACGAATCGGTTTCGCACTTCCTCAAGGATTTTCTACACGAGGATCGTGAGGACGTCGATGTAGAAGTTGTCTTCTTGCATAGGTATGATCGCTGCTTTTGTAAAACTGACATTTCTGACGATTGAAGCGCGGCGTTTAACCCTTTCGATATTACCGATAGATCGTATATCTTATGGCTTGTGGGTAATCTTGAAAGGATTGCCATTTAATGTAAATATGTCTTATGAAATTTATCTCTCATACATTTGATCATCTCGCATCGTTAATCAGTTTTCTCTATCATCAATGTGTGCGTATCACAATTGGTTGAATTTTTATTTTACAACACTCCAGTACATGCAATACTCCACTATACAATAACACAATATTGCAGTTATATTTTTACAGGTAATAGAGATCTTGCATTTTATTCCAATAAATTATACAGTTATATTCATAACAGTTTATTTGTACGTAAACAAAACTGTTACTCGTTGATTATCACAACAACTTTACCAGAGTACTTCTCAAACGTTTTTATATTATTTCTTCATTATTTCTCTTATGTACTAAATAACATTTTTTTTCTGTGTTGTTTTTTGTTCTGTGTACCCACGACTCCGTAGTGAGTATACGTCACTCATCGACGGTCAAGAGATTTTTCCGTCGCCAAGCGACTCAAAGCGATCAGACTCTATTAGCTTCGCGTTTTATCAACCACGTAAAATTTCGTTATTCTAGTAATATTTCAAATTACAAATAAAGGTGCTTCATCAAAAAATCGGATTGTCCAATAATACGAAGAATACGTGAGAAAGCCACGTTCCACGGTCACCCGTGTAGTCTGATCGCTATAGTCGTAAGGAGTGGTTTGTGTTTTTCAGGAAAGAACCGGATCTCGAATTGGAGGGTCTTCTGAAGAGGCATTACACAACCGTGGAGTTTTTTCAGGGCACCATGATGAATGCTGTGGATCTGGAGCGCGTCAAGGTACCCTGAACCCTAGAACAACCACCATACGAAAACCTCCACCAATCAACTAACCCTCCATCAATGCCCTCCACGTGGCCGCTCGCGCTTCTTGTTTCCTTGCAGTTTTTTAGGTTATTACACGGTTATTCGCCTGGGTATAACACGCCGTGATGGTCGATCGATATTTATATATATATATACTTATGTATCTCTTATGCATATATAAATTAACTATATTTACGTACATATATATTTATGTCACACGTTATGCAGTCTCATGTTGATATATAATCGCTATCATTACTTCTTCTAGAATTTCTCGTATCTGATGATTCGTGCGTACGCATACGTCCACGGATCACACCGAATGCTCGCTACATTCTTTAGATTTTATCTCTCTTTTTTTTTTATTTTTTAATTTTCATTCTATTTCTCTTTCTCTTTCTTCTTTCTCTCATGAGTTGAGCTGTCCGGTGCTCCATGATTGAAAAAGCAAGGCCGACGTCTTGGGTCGTCGAGGCACACTTTTCTACGGTTTTTCGCAAATTCGACGATTGTTCACACAAAATGGTGCTTTCGTATACTGATGAATACAGAAACAATGCAGCACCGGACGGCGAAAGATATACATACGTATCTATATATACACATATATATACATATATATATTTACGTAGAAAGCAACCGCCTGCGACTGCATGGTATGCTGTATTGAGCTATGGAGCCGACTCAGCGCTGCAGTAGAGACTTTATTTAGAAATTTATTATTATATATCAGCGTACTCGTCTCCTTTGAAGATGAGTTCGTATAATTTAATCAATCTGCCAATATATTCGGCTTTATTAAAATGGAAATTGTCAAATTGACACGGCATATAACTTTCTCTCAAAGGTAGCGAGCACGCACTTGAATTTGTATTACTCATTTACGTTCTAACGAAATCTCCACCGACTTCTCTGTCGGTCTACTGCTCAACGATATTCTCGCAAAAAAGGACGCGACCGTCGACACCTGAGGTGAATGTTATTTATAAAAGGAATCGTATCATTTTGTCGGATCCGTTCAGGAAACCGCCTGGTCTCGAACTGGAAGGACTGTTCAAGCGGCACTTCACCACCGTGGAGTTCTTTCAGGGGACCATCATGAACCCGATTGATCTACAGCGGGTT